GGAGGACATCTCAGAGTAAAGAAGACATTGAGTCATCTATGGCAGAGATTTTACTGGGTAGGTATGAGGGAAGATGTGATAAAATGGTGCAGGGCCTGCAGTACATGTTGTGATAAAAGGGGACCCAAGCACAAGGGAGTGCTGCAATGAAGTTATATTAAGTTGGCACACCAATGGAAAGAGTAGCCATTGACAATGCTGGTCCATTGCCCCAAAATCATGTTGGAAACAGGTGTGGTGATGGATTATTTCACCAAGTGGCCTGAGGCATATGGAATACCAAATCAGAAATCTTCAACTGTAGCTTCGGCTATTAATGATTTCTTCTTGAGGTTTGGTATGCCATACAAACTGCATTCAGATCAAGGCCGTAACTTTGAATCAGCTGTGTTCCATAAATGCTACACATTGTTTGGCATACGAAAGACCAGGACAACGCCACTTCACCACAGTCTGATAGGATGGTAGAAAAGTACAATTTGACACTGGGATAGGAATTGACAAAGTTTTGTAATAGCCGCCAAGATGACTGGGATGTCTTACTCCCTCCACTGTTGATAGCCTATAGAACAGCAGAGCATGAAGCCACTGGATACACTCCAGCAAAGCTGATATTTTGTCGGGAACTTCAGTTGCCAGTGGACCTGATAACAGGACGCCCACCTTACGAAGAGTTGCCTGAAAATATGCCAGAGTTTGTGAAAGTGTTATCAGAAAGGATGGATGATATTCAACCATCAAGTGCATTCAAACTTGAAAACGTCTGCTGATTCGATGAAGCTATGTTATGATAAGGGATCTAATGAAGTCAGCTTTGTACCAGGAGACAAGGTGTGGTTGTATAATCCCAGGAAGACCAAAGAGAGGTCTCCTAAGTTGTCTTCTCCATTGGAAGGCCCATATAACATACTGGTTCGTCTCTCAGACGTGACTTTCCGAATAAAATGTGGTCGGCGAGGTAAGCCAAAGGTGGTGCATGCCAACAGGCTTTGGCATTATCACGGTCCAGGTCATTTGAGTTGGAATGAAGTGAACAATGGAATAAATGACGCTGCTGAAGATGTGTCACATAAAAAAGCCACTGTTGAAAAAGAAACTCTACCCGATTTTGAGAAGGAAAACAGTGAAGCTGCTAATGAAGTTACTACCAGTGATGTGACTGCTACCGAAAATGGGACATTTCCCGATGGAGCAGATGAATCCCACGTAAAGCAGAAGCCAATAAGATGGAGACCAGTACGGAAGAAGAAAAGTCCTGTAAAATTAAGAGACTTTGTTGTATTTTAGTTTTGTGTTTGTACGTTTTGTACATTTAATTAGGTTATTGTTAATTATCTATTGGTTTAATGTAAGTGGCTATTGTTCGAGACGAACAATATTTTGGAAGGGGCAGTGTTACGATAGCGGAAGTCACGTGGCGCTGGTAACACGTGATGAATTTCTCGAATGATCATGAATTATCGGGGAAGACCGAGTTTGTTCGAGACGCCCTCTTTTTTAGTATATAAGCCTGGCAGCGAAAGCCTGTGGGGATGTATGAAGAGCGTTCCGGGTAATTTACGATTCTGTTTGGAGCTAGTGTGTGTTTTCGAGATTGTGAATCGCTGTGATTTATAGCGTGTATTATAAAAGTTGTTAAGTTTACAGTGACGAGAAACGTATCGATTGTGAATTTACTGTGTGCTAAAAGTTTGTATCGAGGAAGAATAAACTGTTTAACCAAGAAAGGACTTGGATCGCTGAAGTTTCTCGGAAAGAATTTCTACCGAAAATTAACAAACAAGCAGATACGCAACAATACTATAGTAAAAATAAAATAGTATAATATTTAAATTTGCATAAAAGTGGCAACAAAAATTTAAACATCAAATAGATAATTTTGGGAAAGACAAGCAATTTATTTGGAAATAAATTAAGTACAAAACAGCTAAAAATGGAATATAAATTAAAATACCTATACAGTTGTCGTTGTTATTATGACTTTTATTTCAAGGTATCACAAAATCTAAAAAAAAAAATAGTTAGTTGTCAATGGAAATAAGTTTGTTTATTCAGAAAATATTGGAAACAATCATACTAGTAATTCCTCCCATCCTGATGGCCCAATGATAAGCTTGGGGTTTTATGATGCAAAATTGCACGGTTCTATTTCTGCGGTAGGCACTAACCAAATAGCCTTTCTCTTAATAACAGACAAAACTACTAGAAATGTAGGCTGAAACATTTATAGTCAATTGCATAAGTTAAGTGTAAGGTTGCATATTCATATATATATGTTTGGCAATATAACGATAGTCTAGCGGAACTACTTAAAATGATTTTCTTTAACCAAAATCTTAGTTATTTCATAATATTTGTATGACTTCTGGATTACTTATATACTTGGAATAGTATAAGAACTTCTGAGTGAAAGTATAGAAAAATGCGTAATAATATATCAAACACAACATTGTCTGCTATCTTTGAGAATATGTTTTTAAGCAACAGATGACGCTCTAATGTGTATTACGTAGCCAATGATGATGTCACATTTTGTCAAAGAAGTTTCACTATGTTTGGTGTTACTAATATAATGATGAGAAGTTATGACCTGCCGTGGTTTACTTAATTTGTAAAAAAAAACTATTTTTTATGGTAAGCTAACTATTATTATAACAAAATTCGTCCTTAGAACAAATTAATCAAGAGTAATTTGTATGGTAGCTATGCGTTTAATTTAATATATACTCTAACTTAGTAGTAATAGTAATGTGTATAGACCTACAATAGTAAATGTAACAGAAAATTTTGAAATTAATTAATTACTCCTAATAAGGTAACGATATAGAATAAATTTCGGAAACTAGATATGTTGACGTAGCCATTGGGCTCAGATTTTTTTACGATGACCATAAATGAGATGTAGTTTCAACGTAAGTATAAATATATTTATAATATTGATAAATGTCATTGTGTCAGTATTACATTTCAGTGCCATTTTTACTTAGATTTAGAAACGTTAGCACTGGTAAGATAGTGCAAAAATTACACCCAGTTCTTGCTATTGCCATTGGAGAACTATATGGACATTGTGAGTGTGAGTATAATTATATTGAATTCTGTTCTTTTGTGGTACCCATTGAATAAAACTTCTGTTATTTGTATTTTCAGAATAAATATGTATAAGTAAAACTTTAATTTCAAGATAAGACCTTCTGGTCTAATTATAAAAGTAGTAGATGGCAAATGTAAATGCATAAGCTACCATTACCAGAGCATAAGGAGGAAGAGGTTTTTACTCCAAACTTCATACTTTTAGGCCATAAGTTAAAATTTTCCATAAAATATAGCCAAAAAGTGAAGAAAAAATTCTTTACTAAATATTAAGTTTTAAAAAGTTTAAAAATGTGAACAATAAGCAAGAATTAATTAAATGTAATATATATATATATATACATACATACTTGTTTATTTATTTTGAATTAATTAATTTGGATTAACTCCAGGAGCTATGCTGTAAAGAGTCAATTTTTACTATTTGAATATAAGATTGTCATAGTTTTACCATTACTGGAAACTGACCATTTGAAAATTACCCTGACTTTGTACGAGAATGTATGCTATTCCCCTTTATTTATAAAATTCTATTTCTAACTGTACTGAGATATCACACTTAAGTTTCAAATTGTTATTTTCTTTGGCATAGTTATTAGATATTTGACTTTAATTTTTGTGCAGATGAATGTATATGTAGTGCAAAACACTTTTTCAATGAAATATAACTAACAGCTTAGATTTAGTGTGGTTTAAGCTTGTAACCCTGGTAACAAAGAAAGTGCTTTAACTAATTATGCTACTGCCAAGTTTTGATCTCAGTTCACTAGTTCTCAGAGACAAAACTTTACAGAATTGTTTAGCTGTACTAATATCCTTTTATAATGCTCAATTAATTTATTGACATTTTGTTGAAAATACCAAATTAAGCTTGGAACTGTAAAAGTTTAACTTAAGGGTGCTACGTTTCCCAGGGATGATTGCAATTTTTTTTCTAAAGCACTGAAAACTGAAAATGGCAGGATTTGAATCAATAATCATGCCTACTGGATAGACGCTTTAATTAATGAAGCCACCACATCTCAAAATGCTGCCTTTCTTTTATCTTTATTGGGTTTTTTATGGGAATATTATTGATTTGCTGATGATAATTTAGGATATTTTAGATACACTGTTAAGATGATTTTATAAGTTTTCACTTTTTGAAGGCCTATTAAAGAAAAGTAGACACGTTCATTTAGCCCCCTTTTCACTTACAGTTACATGTCGGTGTAACAATGACAAATCATAAATAGTATTTCACAACCTAGAAAAAATAATTTTAAAAGTTTCTTACAGGTAATGTGGAGATGGTAGGTATAGTATAAGCTGGCTTAAGGTAATTTTACAGTTCCACATAGATAATCTAAGTGATTTTTTTTGTAATTTCAGAAAATTGTTAGTGGTTTCTTCTTTGTCACTCATATTAGTGTAAATTACAAGTTTTATATTATTTATGCTGTTCTTAAACATAAATTCAGTTTTGTCTGGTGTTTTTAAACAGTTTGGGTTCTCAACAGAACTATATATTGTCAAGTTTATATGTTTTAAACAGAAAGCTAAGTTTTAGTCATGCTTATATTGTTTTTTAAACAGAGAGCCAAATTTTGTCTTGTTTATGATTTGTTTTTTTTTCAGATAATTTTGAAGATTGTGATGTACCAATAATAATGGAGAAGCTTGAGTTTTGGTGACTGGACAAAGAGAAATGAAGTTTAACATTGAATGGTTTTAGAAGTTTTAACAGAAAAAGTTAACAAGTAAAAGTTAAACAAGTAAACAAAATATAAGTAAGATACTTAAGTTGTAAGCAAGTTATCCAGATTTAATTGCCCTATAAATTGTGAAAAAATTTTGTGACAATGGTTCAAAAATACCAATCACCTGTGCGAGTCTACAAGTATCCATTTGAACTTGTGATGGCCGTGAGTATATTTTTCTATGTAAATTTACATGAATGTTTGTGATGTTCTGAGTTGTACTAGTTAAGAGTTGTAAGAGGGTTTTTGTTTTAAAGTTAAGCATAATGTATATTAGTATTAATGAGAATTTTATATATGAAATATCTTTTTCTTTTTTTTTCTGAAGGCATATGAAAGGAGATTTCCAACATGTAAGATGATTCCAGTATTTGTTGGCAGTGAGATTCTCGCAGAGTTTAATAGTGAAGATGGTGGAGTGACCATCATTGAACGACGATGTAAACTGAATGTTGATGCTCCTTATCTTCTGAAGAAGGTAATATATATAATAATATATTGTGAGAAGTAAGAGGATAGTGATGAATAAAATGGTAATGGTGTTTGATGGTTCTTGAAGGTGACTTTTGAGTTCTGAGAGTCATTTGCATGATATTAAAACTGAACCATATTTGTGATTACTTTGACAATAGAAATCATATTATTAGTTTACAGTATTTTGTATCAGTACTTCAAGCTGAGAATATTTAGGTTTCTCACAATAAATCATGATAAGAAGATTAAAGAATTATTAATTATAACATATTCTTTTTCCCAGTTAATATGTTTTTGTCATTGAACTTATTTCTTACAATTTTATTGTTTTGATTCCTAAAAAATTGACTCCAGTTTGATAAATTTTAATAAATAAATTGACCAAATTTAGCTTAAAAAGTTTAAATTTTAGTTATATAAATACTTACGCTATGCTGTATTGGTTTTGAGTATGAAAGGCCAACAAAAGGATGCATACATAGTAGTTGACAGGAGAGTTTCAACATGCAAAAAGTAATAAGTATTACAATAATACATAAGTATTTTCTCTCTGTATATATGTATTTCATAACAATAATTGTGCAACAGTTACTGTTCATACCAAATCTGTTAATATCAGTTCATAATGAACATCAATTCAAAGTGCCATACCCATCCAGGTTACTTAAGATTTCACTTTGGAAACTTAAAGGTATTAACGAATTGTAACAATAACTTATTTAATGTGTCAGTAATCAGTTGAGCAGTACTAACACAATGTTATTCTATCAATATCAACTAAATGTAATTGTTCATCCTTAGTAATACTTTTGAATAGGGAAAACAGTGTTCCTCAAAATCTACAGTGTGTCCCAATAATTTTGATACAAGGGGATCTACATTCTCAGAACTTCTTTTTTAGGGTCCTGGGACCCTTAATGTTTAGAAACTGAGAGTCCCTAAATAAAACTGGGAGTCCTGATGATTCCCACCCTAATTCCCCTGATGAAGAAAGGTCTATCTTTTGAAAGCACTCAGGTTGTACTTCTTTTTTTTTTGTCTTTTAAATACATTTTTGAACCAACATGTTTTCCCAGTATCATGAATAAAGTTCACAATACTGATAGAATTAATGCAATAATCATGCAATTTGTATTAGAAATAATTAATTTTTCACTCTAATGTCATTTACAAGACAATACTAATTACTGTTGTAGCAAGTTTAGTTAGTATTAATTGTATGTTTGTGATTAGCTGAATTTTATATTTTTATTTATTGCAGTCTGACATGACACTATAGATTAATCATGTTATTAATTCAAAATTAAGATAATTAAACAGCTACTCACAGTTTTTCAGAATTTCTATTTAAATTTTTCATCTTAACACTTAACTGAGGAATGTTACAGTTACATTAATTATTAGAAAATCAAACTAAATACACTATAGTTCATCCAAATATTGCAAGACCAAAGTATTTATTTGTGACAAATGACCTCACCTTTCAAAAGGGGTTCAATATTACCTTTATAAGGTGTCATAGGTCAGTGATTCTCAACCTTTTTGAATCCATGGAACTCTTCTGGCATCAGATTTGTGTCACAGAACATAAATTTAAAGATAATTTATATCTAATAATTATAATTTGCTTTCTATAGATAAGAAATAATTGTCTTTATGCATATAATGTTTGAGTACAATAAACTTGCTTTTCAGTGGCACAGCGGTATGTCTGCGGACTTGCAACACTAGAAACTGGGTTTCGATACCTGTGGTGGGCAAAGCACAGATAGTCCATTGTGTAGCTTTGTGGTTAATTACAAACAAACAATACAATAAACTTATCATTGTATTCAAATTCAACACTGTAAGAAGGGATTTAAACTGTTTGATTAGTTGGCCTAGCCTACCGTACTGCTAATATCTAATTGATGATGTCTTCTCTAAAAATATTGTTGTAGTTTTCTAGTAGGCATAATATTGCACAAAAACATCTACCTTCTAAATACTACAGAAGTCTTTAAATTGTGTCTTCAAGTTGTTTTATTACTGTTGATTATAGTTGACCATACTAACTTCCACTTGACTATTTTTCACAAAACACCTGTTGTATTCTTGACTAAATAGCATTAAAGGTCAGAATCTTTCTGAATGAACAAGAGGTGTAGAAGCTTAAAATGAACATCAAGCTAACAGAAAATAGTAAAATGTGATTTAGAGAAACAAGTATGAGTTTAGGAAAGGGCAAAAAATTAAATATATTTACAGTTCACATACTAATGTTACGTCTCCGTTTGTTAATTAACTTTCCGTAACTTCGTTCCGACAAAACTTTAGT